TATGCTGAAGTAAGGCTGTTTGCAAATGCAAAATGGCTTGATTTTTCTCAAGCAATTCGGTGAAGTTGCATTTTCAAGCTTTTGAGGTGCCCAGTTTAGACATCCAAGTTTTCTTCGCCCCTGTCTTATTTCCGCTCTAATTCAGGTCGCAAAGTGACCAACCAGTTATTCTAATTAAACCTCAGAAAACAGCTAAACTGGGTCTAACGTGATGGCTTGTTTACATGCTGAACACTAGATTTATCATCCGGTTTAACACTATATGGGTTAAAAAGAACATGTGTTGTGAAACTGGCAAGATATTTTGGCTGTCCCCGAAGAAATATTTACGTTTTTACGTAAAATATGTATCTAGTGGGTTGAAGACATGAACGGTGCAATCCAGAAGGCTAAAAATGAGGTGCTTGGAGAAGCTAATGAAATGAGGGAAGAAAACGGTTCGCCAGCACTCTGTTTGACATCCACGAGATTTCAGAAGCCCAACAGTCATGGAGTTCGAGCGTAATGCTCTTCTTTATTTTACATCACTTTGCTTTCTATTATTCTAATATTCTGTACAATAATCTACAAGCACAACTAAGAAATGACAACCACGCTGAGGGAAAGAGAGAAGGTGCAGACGAGGGAAGGAAGAGGGAGAGGAGGGAAGGAAGAGCAGCACGAGGGAATGACGGGATATGCGAAGGGACGGGTTACGCAAATGAGGGAGGAGGCACGCGAAGGAGATACCGGATAGGGGCGGGAGGCCCGGGGAGTGGGAGAGGGGAGGGGAGGGAGGAGAAAGCAGTCCTCAACCAGATAATCATATTTCCTGCATAATTAATAAAAACGCAATAAACAAAGCGCAACAGGAGAATAATTTGCAACATCAAATAATTACGAGCAATGAAACGACACATTAAAGTACAACACTGAGCCACGTAAACATCGCCGGTCTTATCAATAAAGCACTGCGTAGTGCACCGGGAAATCGGAAGCAAGATAAGCAGTACAGTCGCCATACAGTCGCTGCAAAGGGCGAAAGAGAGCAAGGGCAGGGAGGGGAAGCATAATTGAGAAATTAATTTTTTTTTTATAGCTTGTTTAATATTTATTTAATATTTATTAATATGTTTAATATTTATTTAATATTATTTAATATCTAATAAAAAATGCTAAATTATTTATCCATAGTAAAAAGAGGTCCGCATATCAGATTTGAAAAGAATTACAAGACTATTCAAGGAATAAATAACATGAAACTAGGCCCCAACCGTCAACGTGCCCTGATCTACAAGCTCAAACCTAAGTCCAGCCCAATTTTCTAAGTGAATAATCAAAAAAATTACAAAATAAAAATTTTGACAATCTGTTCTAGTAAGTGATTTGAAGCAAATTCCCTCAAATCAGCTGTATCCTTACCCAATTACCATTCTACATTCGCCTGAAACCATCATTCATTCAGGAGCCGTAAAAATCGCCAGTTTTGAAATTTAGTAGGATAATTTACACGATAACCCCAAAACAAAATTATGAGACCAGTTCCTGGATCTGCCGTACATTCCCTTCTCCTGCCCTTCCTTCCCCTCTCCCCCCCCCCCCCCCCC